AGGAAGAATATTTCAGAGTCCCAAAGCAGAGTCTACGATCAAGGATAAGTGCTAGAAGAGGGAGAGACTGGACAGCAGCTGCTCACACAAGAATGACTCCTCCTCCCTTCCCCAGTTATTTTCCATGACTAACCAATCCCTAGGCTTACTGGACAGTCTACCCACTGACGAGTCAGGCTTTATCATCCTCAGAAGTAATTTTCTCTCATTCAAGACAAACCATATAATCCCCCCTTCCATGTGGAAAATTGGAAGGTCACCTCAAGGTGCCTATTCCTCCTGAAGAAGCTTTTTACCCCAAACCACAATTTGTCCCCAGGGCCATTCCTCCAAGTGTCTATGGGCAGCATATACCTTTGCATTGTGATTGCCTTGCACATAACCAGAACTCACTATGCATTGACCAAAAGCCTGTGCACATGGGATGTAAGAATGAAGTCCAGTGAATAAATGCAAATCACTCCCTCAAAAGCCCAGTCCTCTTCCACTATCTAACACTGTGGTAATATTAGACATTACCTAACATTGGGGTATAAAACTTTCATTGGACTCTAACTTCTGGGACACCTATGCCAGATTATATCAACTGATTGTGGCATCGAATTGATGTTCTTTCATCAGGACATTCAGTGCTACTTAAAAGTCTTCCTAATCCTGGGTGCTTAGGAATACAAATATTACATTGGCTACAAAATAAATGGCTAACAGGTATGGTAGATGCAGAAGAGTGGATTGGGGGCGCCTGGGTGGCTCAGTCGGTTAAGCATCCAACTTCAGCTCAGGTCATAGATGGACCTCTCAGGACCCTGTGGGGATCACCTACCATTCCTTTGCCTGGAGCCATTTTCATACTGAAGGGTGGGAAAGGGGGAACCAAGGCCAAAGTCTGTACCTCAGTCAACTAAGCCCTAGGAGGATGTGACCCTCGTGTCACATCCATTTCCCCCACACCCTTCCTTCACCACACCAGATCCTTGCCATTGCTTACAAAATCTCTCACTTTCAAATTGTGAAAACACTAGCTGCATGCATTGATAATAGCAAATCAGATTCATAGTCTAGATACCCGGTTGGGAGCTCTCTAAACTTGACTTTACAAGCAGATTATTTCTATCTTGCACCTTTACAAAGTAGATTCCAGAGTAAATAAAAACGTGATTCTAAAAATGTTAGAAGACAATATAAGCTAAAATGAAATAATTTCACATTAGAGAAGGCTGTTTAAAATAAGACACAGGGACGCCTGGGTAGCTCAGTCAGTTAGGCATCAGACTTTGGCTCAGGTCATGACCTCGCAGTTTCTGGGTTCAAGTCCCACATTGGGCTCTGTGCTGACAGCTTGGAGCCTGGAGCCTTATTTGGATTCTGTGTCTCCCTCTCTCTCTGCCCCTCCCCTGCTTGCACTTTGTCCCTGTCCCACATTGGGCTCTGTGCTGACAGCTCAGAGCCTGGAGCCTGTTTCAGATTCTGTGTCTCCCTCTTTCTCTGACCCTCCCCTGTTCATGCTCTCTCTCTGTATCAAAAATAAGTAAATGTTAAAAAAAAAAATTAAAAAAAAAAAAACAAAAGAAGAGTGGATTGGATAAGAGTGTAGGCTCTGGAGTTAGGTGGGCCTGGCCTTGAATTCTAATTTTACTACTAATGGCTTTGAGTAAGTGACTGGTTTCTTCAATGGGTTAGTAATATATGATGCACTCAATAAATGGCATTTGTATTCTCAAAAGTAATATGGTTACTGTATTTCTGTAAGTTAATGATGCATTTTTCACATTTTAATGGTTTTGAAATCAGAACGTTTTTTATAATCAATCTCAAAAGAAACTTGTGAGCTGAAATTTGCCAGCTGTTTATCCTATCTCCTATCTCTCCTCCACTCCCTGGCTATATTAAATTATGGTACATTTTATAATTATTTGTGTTTAAGAGTCAAGGAGATATGGTTCATAAGATGACAACAACTAAAGCTTTGGAGCTCTTTTGTGGTAAGCATACATTTCCAGCTAGATTCCCCTATTTATTATTAGTGTCTTCTATATGAAAGAGAAGAGCCAAAGATTCCTTTGGGTCATACTGTCCCATTTGTAAATACACAGCCAAGTGGCATCACAGAAACTAATTTACTGGGAAGTTCATGAAGTTTGAACTTCCAGCTTCCCACTGTCACAGGCCTCTGCTGGTATCCTGGGAAGGGGGCCCTAGTACTGTGTTCATGTGGTCAGATATATTTCTAAAACATGCAATTTTGTTTTGTTTTCTTTTTCTTAAAGAGTTTCCTGTTGTATGAATTTCAGTCCCCATAAAACTTAAGACACTCAGGGATGTCTTCCAAGATATTCATGTGGCACCATTTGTATTTGGGGTACTCTGACTCTCTTGAGTATATCCTTGGCCTGTGTTTCTCCTCCCCGCCTATGCAAATCTGCTCTTGGGAAAGGACCTTCTGTTTGATATTAACACCTTAGTGTGACTTTGTTTTTTTTTTTAATTTTTTTTTCAACGTTTTTTTAAATTTATTTTTGGGACAGAGAGAGACAGAGCATGAACGGGGGAGGGGCAGAGAGAGAGGGAGACACAGAATCGGAAACAGGCTCCAGGCTCTGAGCCATCAGCCCAGAGCCTGACGCGGGGCTCGAACTCACGGACCGCGAGATCGTGACCTGGCTGAAGTCGGACGCTTAACCGACTGCGCCACCCAGGCGCCCCCTTTAGTGTGACTTTGAACCAGTGTAGTTTACCTCTTCTCAGGTTATTTACATTTTGCATCCTCCCTAATGTGTAGAATGAGAGGTTATTTTTTTTCTTCTCTCTTTTTAAAACATTTTTAACAATGCTTATTTATTTTGGGGAGGTGGAGAGCACAAGCAGGGCAGGGGCAGAGAGAGGGAAACAGAGGATCCAAAGCAGACTCTGCGCTGACAGCAGTGAGCCTGATGGTGGGGCTCAAACTCGCGAACTGTGAGATCATGACCTGCGCCGAGGTTGGACACTCAACTGACTGAGCCACCCAGGTGCCCCTGAAAGGTTATTTTTTTCAAATGAAATATCTGGCATTAGTAATCAGACTGAAATGTTATTTTGAACAACAAAGAGACTTTTCCTTCACCTCTCAACACATACCCAGAAGAAACTCTCCTACTATGCCTACATGTAAGCACAGCCCATTTATTGCTGTCTGAATCAATTTCTATCTAGTCAACACTATGCTGCATAGTTAGGAGCAGATTAGATTCTTCTGCATGTGAACAGCTGAGATAGCAGATCCAAATGTGAATGAGACAGAGACACTACTTTACTTCTTTTACACTTCTTCCACTGTTTTCCTCTGCTTGCTTACCTTCCCCTTCCTGCCTATTTCCCTTCCACTAACATTTATTAAGCACCTGCCACGTGATAGGCATTATGGTAAACAGGCAATGGCACACTGAAATGAACCTTTAACAAATAAATGAGTGAGTCAAACACTGACTTTTGTGGTGATACTACTGTTCTTACCCTAGTAATGTCATTTTCATTTTCTACTTCTCTTCACAAAAGGTTAACACTACTGTTGTTCTCATTTTTCCTTTAGTTGTGCTTCTAGTTACTGTATCATACTCAAGAATAACTGTTATTTTTTAATCCCTTCCCCTTTCATATACTAAGAGGCTCAAATAAGTGGGTAAACCAGAAGGTTGGCTAAGAGCAAAAGCTTCCTTTTTATGTATTAATTACTTCAAAAGGATTAAATATTCTTCTGCCTCACCTACTTCCTTAATCCTGCAACTCACATATATTGGAAAAAGTAAAGACACTTCAAAAGAGTTCATCTTCATTAAATACTGTAAGCAATCATAAGCAATGATGATATTAACAAAAGAACGATAATAGTCATACTATGAACCATATAAACCATTCTCTCCACCATATATATTAACACTGGTAGTCCTCTGATCAGACTCTCAGAACTAAATAAATTAGAAGGTGCCTGTCCTTTAGGTATTAGCCTAAATGTCACTTTCTCTAGAAGGACTGCCCTTCTTTTATACACTAAGATAGGTATTTCCCACCATGGGTGCCCATAGTACCCTATACATCTCTGTTATAAGAGTCATCACATCTTATTATCATTGCTTGCTTCATTAACTATTTTTCCACTAGACCACAAGGTCTAGACCACATGTAAGTCTTTCTCACCATTTAATCATCAGGGGCCTGGAAAATACTAAGAATGTTATAAACAGTTGATAAGTAAAGGAAAGAAAGGAAGGAAGAAGGAAGGAATTTTTCAAATATTAGGGAAGCAAATTGTCCAGTTTATTTAGTATTCAAAATGCAATCATATGGACAGTACTTTTGGAAATACTTCCCTTATGACTGGGATTTCACCAACTCCTTCCTGTGCTTATTGAATTGCTGAAAATAATATCAAAAAGTGTTATTTCCTCTTCTGATTCCTCCAGGAGATGAAGACACAAATCATAGGGTCCAAGTGACTTAAGCCAAAGTGGTTCTTCTTGGTTCTTATGTCATTGTTTTGGAGTCAGCCCAGGTATCCACACTATACCATCTGCACTGTATCCGAAACATCTCTTACTTTCCCATCTGACTCTTGCTTACATTGTTAGATTCTCAACTCTTTCCCCTGACTCATCTCCCAAGTACAGATGATTATCCTTATTCTAATAGAAGGGAGAGAATGTGTAGATCATCCAAAGGAGTGGCTTGTCTAAACACTGTCTCTTTTGGCTTTCAAATACATAATGTAGATTTTCATATAACCAGAATTTGCCCACTGCTCAGAAAACAGAGAATTCTTCTGTAAATGGCAGTCCAAATTTGAAAACCACAGCTGTTTTTAGCAATTGAGTCACTGCCTTTCAGATGCCAAAAATATCACCTACCATACTCCCCAGGGTTCAAAGAAAGAGGAAAGAAGAAAAAAAAGCAAAGAACAAGTTGAGGATAAAGGTAGCAGGAAGCTTCTCCAGTCATATAAATTATTATTAAAAATAACTACAATAGTGCTCGCTTCAGCAGCACATACACTAAAATTGGAACGATACAAAGAAGATTAGCATGGCCCCTGTGTAAAGGTGACATGCAAATTCGTGAAGCGTTCCATATTTTTATGGAATAAAAATAAAAACAAAATAAAATAAAGACATAAAAAACTATAACAACTCAAACAACAATAGTAATAGCAATAAGATTAGCATTCAACAGCAATCAACAAAATAGGGCCGCATGTGACTTTCCTAATCTCCATGAAAGGGAAAGATGAGAGTATTCTTAGCACCATCATTTTACAGATGTATAAACAAAGTTAGAAAAGTTAAGTGAATAACCCAACCCATGGTTACACAGCTAAGCCTGAACTCCAAATCAAGCATTAGACTTCAAATCCTATATTCTGTCTCTTATTCAAACAGTCTCATCACTGATTTATCTAACCACTCCTTCATGAATTGATTTTGGTAGGAAATCTGCCCTTTTCCCATCACTGTAGGCCTAAGGGGGATCATTAGAATTTCTGTGAGCTTCTCAAAATAGAGTAGAAACAAAGATTATACTTTTAGATTTTAGATGAGGGTTCTAGGTATATATGCATTAAAATCTTACTTGGCCCCTCTATAAACTGGTTTTGGAAGTTTGAAGAAAAAAGTTTGGCCAGTCTGTGCTGGTGTGCATCTTGGACTCTAATTCCCCAGACCCCCCTCCCACCCACAGGGGACTTCAGGAACAGCTAAAGCAACTTTTTAACTGGCAAAACTTGGTGACCCTTCTCTAGTTTCCCAGTCCCCATCTCCCCAGAGCAGACCAGTACCTAGCACATCCTGGGCTGTGGTGAGAGAGACTCTCATCTTGGAGGCCCTAGCCACTGGGTCCGGGCTGTGCAGCCAAGGGAATGTCTACCCCATAAATCAAATCTTGGGGAATCTGTGATCCAGCAACACCTCCAGCAGATACCCATTTAAGGCAATATCTGGTGAGAGCTTGTAAAAGAAAAGTTGGAAAAAGAAACTAGACAGGGAAATGATGGAAGGGCTACTAAATGATACAGGGCAGATGAAACTGTGGCAGACAGTATTTTCCAAAGATGACTGGAAAAATAATTCTGGTTTTAAATGCTCTTCTAGAATCTTGCTATTCTCCCATCAAGAAGAGTTTATTTCCTCTCTCCTCAAATCTCCATTGGTCTTGATGACTGTCTCAATGAATAGGCTATGGTTGAAGTGAAGCCCTGTGACTTCTGGGGGTAGGTTAGAAAAGGTAGTACAGCTTCCACCTGGCTCTCTCTCTTGGGCATCTGACTTTTGAACCTTGGAAGGAAACCCAGGCTACATAGACAGTTCATATGTAGGTATTCCAGTTATCAACCCAACAAAGGTACTAGCCAACAGCTGGCATCAACTGCAGTACATGCAAGTGAACGAGCCTTGTGACTCCAGTCACCGGCCTTTGAGTCACCCTAGCCTTCAGGTCTTTCAGCTGAAGCTTCAGACATCATGAGCCAAAGACAAGCCATCCTTATAGTGCCCTGTGGGGATTCTTGACCCATAGAATCCATAGACACAGTAAATCGTTGTTTTATGCTACTAAGTTTTGGGGTAATTTGTTGCACAGCACATCATAACCAGAACCCTAACCTAGGTCCTGAGAGGACCTCTGGCATGTTCTATCTGCAACAGCCAAAAGTGAAATCAGGTTCTACTGCTAATTCTAGCCGACCCCTGCCAGGCACCTTCTTGATACAGGTCATTTCTCTTAGAGGCTCCACTGTTTCTCCTTGCAACTGCACCTGGCCCTCCCAGCCAAGTCCATTAGACATGCTATGAGAGGTCTGAATCTCAGTTGTGCACAGGGTTTGAGCTCTTTTCTTTAAGTTCCTTTGGCCCTGCCTGGACACATCAGAAGATGAGCTTAGCCACTTATTTCAGTCTTTGAACCTTCTGTGGTGGGTAAGAAGTACGCAGTGGTGGAGAGTAATGGGTAGTGGGGAGAAAGGGAAGAACCTAACTCCCAACACCTTTGTCTTAGTTCTGACCCAGAGTTAACTGTTCTACTTAAATAATTACAAGAGCACAGTTAGAACCTTCACTCTCAGTGCCATGATACCGCTGAATCATTTTATTTCCAATGACAGCCTTTTGATCAGGTCATTACATTTAATATCAGAAAAGCCAAAAATTTAGGGACTTGTCTATCACGTATACTGTTGTAACACAAACATTTAGAATCATGCCTAGAACATGGTACACACTCAATAAATATCTATTGGATGGAAGAATAAACAAATGAATGAATGAATGAATGAATGAAAGACATTCCTCCCTCCTTTTAGAGAATAATATATAATATTAGATTAGCATAAAGTGCTTAGTAGACTGCAGTGTTCAATAGGGTATTTGACTGCCTTAAGTAATGTTTTGCAACCTGCTCAAAGCAGCTGTTAAACCTTAAAACTCTGAGTTCCTTGAAGGCAGAGACCATGTCTTATTCCATTTTGTATCCCCAGCACCTGGCACTTTGCCTGATACTAGCTAAGTGTTCAGTAAATATTAAATATTTAAATATTAAAACCTAAATGAATGTCAAACAGAGACTGGCAGAGACATTTCAAATTATTTAGTTCTCTTAGGCTTTGCTTGGTAGGAGGCAGTGACAGAGAAAGATACTGGCTAGTGCACCTGATCCCCAGAGGGATAGACTGGGGTATAGGAGTCCAGAAGGCCTGAGGCTTCCTAGCTGCTAAAACATTTTGAGAACAAGAGGACTGAAAAAACTTTTATAATCTGAACAGGACATTGATTTGAATACCAAAAAAAAAAAAAAGCATATAGACTACCACTCTACCAATCAAAAGTGCTTTTCTATGATTACTCCAAGTATAATTTTATTTCACAGATAATTTTATACATGAGTCATTCATTCATTTGTCCATTCATTTATTCATTCATCCCATATTAATAGGGGTTTACCCACTGCTATTTTTCTGCAAAGATTTGTTTAATTTGCTCAAGATGTAGTTGAATGTTCAAAAGGTCCTCATTACCTGGAAAAATGACCTGACTAGGCAACAAAAGATGTGATATCATTTTGTAGAGGCAGATGGAAATTGCAGACAGAACGTCTTCACAGTTCAGAATTAACTAATCCAGTGTATTTCAAAATGTTATCTGCATTGCATAGAATTACTTGACAGATGACTACTAAGAAAGAGGTATCTAAGATCCACTCCAGACATACTAAATCAGAAGATCAGGAGTGAGACTGTAAACCTTCTGAGCAACCTCTGGTGATTTTGACTGCACTCAAGTGTGAGAACTGTTGACCAAAGGTGCCTTGCTATTAGGACCTACATGCCATTACTTAATATGATACAGCTTCTCCCACATTTCTACAAAAGTAAGGTGTTATTTGGCTATTCTAAGACACCTAGGAATAATGTATATATGGCTGAGATATTTAACACTATTTAGAACCAATAAATATGGCCAATGCCCCAGACAAGAATTTCACTGAATGAACATAATCATTCTCTGTTTAAGGTAGGCCCAAATAGGGGCGCCTAGGTGGCGCAGTCGGTTGAGCGTCCGACTTCAGCCAGGTCACGATCTCGCGGTCCGTGAGCTCGAGCCCCGCATCAGGCTCTGGGCTGATGGCTCAGAGCCTGGAGCCTGTTTCCGATTCTGTGTCTCCCTCTCTCTCTGCCCCTCCCCCGTTCATGCTCTGTCTCTCTCTGTCCCAAAAAAAATAAATAAATGTTGAAAAAAAAATAATAAAAAAAAAAATAAATAAAGTAGGCCCAAATAGGCCCCTGCAAAAAGAAAATAACAAAGCAAATCTAGCCTTCCCTTAAGAAACTCACAATTTAGAAGCAAGCTATTACAAAATAGTTGTTATTAAAATAGAGAAGCTTTTAAACCTTGAAATGGCACATTCAAATTGTTCTCAATTTTATAAACAATAAACAACAATCATCAGCTGTGAAAGGGAGATCTGGACTATACTATTTTTCTACCCTGGTTCCCACAGTGCTAACATCCAGCTGGGACCCCAGGACCTTTTCCTTGCTTTACTCCCAAACTCACTCCTTCTTCCCAGGAGACTTTTACTCACTTTCTGAATTTTCCTAATCTGGTCAGAGAGTGTGTCTAACAGGCGAGTTTTCAGGAAGTCCATCACCTTGACCACCCGGCCATCAATGTAGCAACTGGAATAAAAATAAAATAAGAATCAGGTAAAATCTTGAACAGGAGACTACAAATACACTTCTCTAAGGAAGTGAGGAAACAGCCCAGAGTTCACTTGGGCTTTCACATCCTGAAAAGTTTTTACCCTGGGTGTTTTTCAAACAAGTAATCTCCTTTTTATTTTCTTCATTTCTACCTCCATTTGTGGAGTCATTTTTTTCCAACCTCTGTCACATGAACCTGCATTGCTTGCTCTGTAGGAGTGGACAGGAATCCATAATACAAATTAAGTAATGGAGGAAAAGCTTACTCTTTTTTCCCCCAGGAAGAGTAATTTAACATCCATCCCATACCACCCCTGTCCCCACCTTAAAGTAGTAAAGGTATGTGACAGGTTTAGAAAGAATATTCAAACATTTTTTATAGGTTTCCACACCTTTAAATAAGAAAACAAATACTGACCACAAAAATCTGATACAGTGTAGTGAGTGGGTCTGAAAGGTTTCATCTCCAGTTCACTTTGTAGTCAACCCTCTCCTACCAACCAGCTCCAGAATAAATGAATGGATGAATGAATGAAGAAATAAATCAGACAGATGACTTAGTCTTCCAGCCCTCTCCTAAAATAGTAGTAACAAGTTCAGCATTCACTGTGGGTTTTATCAGGTTGTGTTAGTTGTGCTGATAGTATGTTGTGAACATTTGACCAAAACAGGTTGATCCAGCTTTGTGAGGCCCCTCTTTGTGAATCCTTACTCTGAAGAGTAAGCTAAGACTGGGTCAGGTTTAGGTGACCTTTATTATCTTAAACTTCCCCCACCCCCATTTTTACAAAATTCCAAATTAAATCAACTGAATTAAAATAAATGCTTATGCACCTGGGTGCCTTTTCCATCCCACTCAGGTCTCTCCAGCTGATGGCTAATGATAGATCATCTCATTTTTTTTTTTCAACGTTTATTTATTTTGGGGACAGAGAGAGACAGAGCATGAACGGGGGAGGGGCAGAGAGAGAGGGAGACACAGAATCGGAAACAGGCTCCAGGCTCTGAGCCATCAGCCCAGAGCCTGACGCCGGGCTCGAACTCACGGACGGCGAGATCGTGACCTGGGTGAAGTCGGACGCTTAACCGACTGCGCCACCCAGGCGCCCCAGATCATCTCATTTTTAATAAGACATCAACCTATCAGTATATATTATAGAAGTATGTGAAAATTATTTTTAATTTTAAATTCCCATATCAATGCATGATGTATTAGAATGTTTTAAAAAATTTGTTTAATTGTAAAGCAGGTGCTTTAGTTGAAGTGAGGGTGAGATGTGAGTTCCACCTACTCAGCCTTCCCCTTGGCCTCCTTTACCGCCTCAGACATTCCCACGAAATCCAACATTTAAACCATTGGTATGTTGGAAAAAGTATGAGTTTTGGACCCAGAAATATCTGAGTTCAAATTCCAAATCAGCTATTTACTACCTGTGTGAACTTGGGCAAGATATTGACCTCTACATGCCTCAGTTTTCTTATTCTTAAAAGAGGTAACATATTAGGGCACCTGGGTGGCTCCTGGGTGGTTAGGCATCTGACTTGGGCTCAGGTCATGATCTCATGGTTCGTGGGGTTGAGCCCTGCATCGGGCTTTGTGCTGACAGCTCAGAGCCTGGAGCCTGCTTGCTTCAGATTCTGTTCTCCCTCTCTCTCTGCCCCTACCCTGCCTATGCTCTGTCTCTTTCTCTCACTCTCCAAAATAAATAAACATTAAAAAAAAAAGAGGTAACATATTTACTTCTCAGTATTAATCAGTGATTAAGCAGTTAAACCTAAAGTGTATGGCATATAGTAGGCATTCAACAACTCTTAGTTCTTTTTTAATTTCATTTTCAGCTACAAAGATGGGGTCATAAACAACAGGGGACTGATGGTTAAATTATGTATGAATACAGAATCCTAAAAGTAAAACTACTATGTCAAAGTACATGATTTTGAAAATTTGGTGGTTACTTTCATTAGTGAATAAAACAAAACAATGACATGACCTTTCACTTCATTCTTGGTAAAGACACTAGACTCAGATCCAATAAACATTTATTGTGTACAACACACAGTGCTGGGTATGGCCATGTTCATTACCTATAACCCCAACCTCTTCCTATTAGTACTTAACTATTAGCATTACTGATTTTTTTTTAAAGTGTGATTAGATAGCTTGCCACATGGAAACTAGGTATATTAAAACATAGTAATATTTTTTAAATATTTATTTATTTATTTTGAGAGGTAGCATAAGCAGGGAAGGGGTAGAGAGAAGGAGAGAATCCCAAGCATGCTCTGCGCTGTCAGCACAGATCCCTACACAGGGTTCCATCTCCTGACCTGTGAGATTGTGACCTGAGCAGAAATCAAGATTCAGATGCTTAACTGACTAAGCTACCAAGGTGCCCCAAAACATAGTAATATTAAAATTAAAAATAATTCATGCAATATTAATCTAATACACACCGAAGGACATGAATACTTGTTACTATATTATATGATTACTAGGCACATGATACACATGCACTGTAATTAGTGTTCTTTTATGTTTTAACCAAATATATTATTGTCCCCTCTTTTCTCTCTGTTAATCTTCAGTAACTATTTTAAACATCATAATTTATAAGTTTTGCTGGCAACACATATAGTTTAATGCTTATTGAAATAAAAATATTAGATGCACTTTTTCAATGTGTCGGATTCCCATGAATGCCCTCCTTACCCAACCTAGTCATTAGTTGAGGGGCCTCCCATTCCTCCACTCCTTCTTTTTGTCTCTTTTCTCAAGTACTCAGAACTTGGAACCTAGAAAACTCTGGCTCAGTTTCAGCTTTGTCACCTACCACCTATATTAGGTTTCCCTTTCTTTGAAGTTGGTTAAGAAGAATCCCAAACCCACAGTTTTCAGGGTATACTGTACCAATTAAATCAGGAAAAATGCTGGGCATAGATCCTGGCACATAAAAGATATTCAAGAACCAAATGTACCCTCCAGGTTACTGGAGGCAGCAACCTAGACTGGAAAGCCATGAGATGAGGTGAGCAGGGGAATATCTGTCTGAAGGAGAGCATGATTTGGAAAGAGGGAAGTACGGAACAGCAAAAACAGACTCTGGATTTCTGGTAGGTGGGAGGCAAACGAAGGGATGGTAAGAGCGGTGTTTCCATTGCAAAAATTTCGAGTTTGAGAAGACCTTAACGGCCATGTGGCTTAAAGCATGTAAACTTGCTACAGTATCCCTGAGAAGTGATTATCTAGGACAGAGAACCCACTCTCATATACTACTACTACTTTTCCACTGCACTACAGCTTGAATCCATGAAAGGCTCTTCTAATATAAGTTTAAAATTTGCTCCCTCTTACTGTCCACTCAATGGCTGCTTTCTTGGACCAAGAAATAGTCCAATTTCTCCTTCATGTGACATGTGGGGAAGCAATTCCAATAAAAACTTTGGCTTAAGCTTTTTAGAGCCATTTTGGCCCCACTTTTAACCTAACAAGCTGGATTCAATCATTCTCAGTTGGTCTCAGGCTATTTCTGTGGACTGTGAATTAGACTGGAGAGGGGAGAGCTCCAGGCAGGAAAGCAGTGTGACAAGGTTATCTTATCTCAGTACTGCAGGCAAGAATCTGGGTCACGGAAAGAAGTAAAAGTGAGAGGCTGTGAAGGAAAAACTAATAAAATAAGGCTTCTATAGAGTGTAAGAGAAAGAGGAAGGGAATCAGTGATGACCAGGAGCTTGTGAGAGAGAATATTTTGGAGAACACTGATGCCAAAAACATGTAGGTTTTAGGTTTGTCAAGGGGATGGATGATGTTGCTTGAGATATCAAGGATTCAGAGAACATCAAAGAGGAAATACACAATAGGCCAGTGGAGATAGGAGGAGGAGGTAGAGATAAAAGTTGAGATAGGAAAAGACCTGGGTCTTCTAACTATGAGTAATGGAGGAAGTCATGGCTGCAGATGAGTTCTTCAAGAAGATAAGAGAAGTTAACCGAGAGGTCAGAGACCCTCTAAAATGCTTATGGCCCTGGGCACTGCCTCTGTCTACATTTGGCTCAGCTAAGAGTCCTTTCTTTTCCCACTTTGACCACCACATTGTCTTTTTAATATCTTCAGTCTGAGTCAAATTTACATTTGGATGTCAAAGGAATCCCCATATAATACTGGAGTTCCAGCAACATTCATGTGCTGCCTTAAATACACATATATATTGTACTATTTCCATGGTACGTTGAACTATGGTCTCCATAATTTAGTGTCACTTTTAAGAGAGGGGCCAATTTAACCATTGATGTGAGTCTGACAAAACGTAAGCCTTTTTCTTGGGTATGCTTGGATAATTAGCTTGCTACATTTACCCTTCATAAATGCAATGCTTCTAAGAAAACATTCAGTGTCAATAATCTGTGGTTATTTGAAAAATTCCTGCCTGTTAACAGAGCTTCTGTTCTCTGATAGTGATTGCCTATGGTAAGAGCCTGCTATATCACATGAAGGAGGTAGCATAGCCTGACATAACCATTTGGTAAGACTAAATCATTAAAAATGATGAAGATGGTGATTTCTAACCAAGACTGGATAAAAGGAAATGGGACTGGATTCCACCTGACTGACTGTCCAGTGACCTGAGGGCAACTCTCTCTGCTTTCTTTTGTCTTTCTCATTGGGAAGATAAAGATGATTCTTAGCTATTAAGCAGTCTCTCCAAAGAGTTAATTAATTTAGTAATGGTTACAAAAGTGTCAGAAGACCAAATAAATCAGAGAAGAAAGTAAGGATTGAGAGAAAGCAAATTCATTAATTAGAGGTGCTTTGGCATCTCCCACATAAACCCTGGCAGAACAGTTGGTTCTACAAACACTTAGATGGACACTTTTAGGTAAATCATATTCTTCCTCCAAGCGCTCTTGAAATTTCAGCATCTCTTAGGATCAAACCACAAGTGGCTGAGTTGTTCAGCTAAAAGTTGAAGCCAAGAGAG